TACAACAAGTCTTGTTACTTGACTTAATTTATAGGCTGATTAAGTTTCTAATTAACCAACTGCAATGTCTAAATCATAAGTGGACATTTCCTATTTTTACTTTAACATACGGAATTCACATTCAATTGCAGGAGAAAATATTTGATTTTTTTTTTTTGGTCGAAAGGGGATATTCAATAAAATTGGAACATCACTCAAAACGGGTAGAGCACAGAATTACAAAACAAGCAACCCAATAAAAAGGAACAACAAAACAACTTCGAGTAAACCTGATCGAATCGCTTTTAAGTTAACATGACCTTAACTATCTAACCTGACTACAAAAGAGTTGAGTTAAGTTAAATTGACTTAATAATGAGTGAATCTCAAGTCTACAAAATATTAAATCGTTATATATTGAGGTGGGTTACGAATTGAGACTAATATCGATCCAACCCAACCCATGCCCACGCGATCAGACAAACCGACTCAAATTTTTCTTGTATTGTTGTGGATAGATAAGAAGAAGATGCCACGTGCACCACCGGCACATCACTGACATCCACATGTACAAATATTTTACGAGGCGCTAGCAAACCTCCAATAAAAGGCGATTGGTTTGCTTTGCTTTGCCTTTATATAATATTGTGAATTTGTGAGTGCGAAAGCAAACCAAATTGTTGTGTTCATACTGCCAAAACTTCTTACTTCTTCAGTTCAAAATTACAAGTGTTTTTGAGAATTATTGGTTCGACTAGGGCCCAGGCCAATGCACACATGCTTGCTGGTCAAAATAAAATAAATATGAATAAATAAATAGATCTTATATGATGACAAAACTCATTTTAATAGCTCGTCTCGGAAGACATGACTTGAGTCCGTATTATTTCGTTGTAAATAAATTTTTTTATTTTTTATTATAATGTGAAGAAAAATAATACTAGACTAATTTCTAGCTGATTCTAACAAATTAGATCATTAATAAAAAGGAAAAAAATAAAATCGAAGCTTATTTTAGTCAATTTCATAAGTATCGTATCAAATTCCATCAATCGAATCGCTTAAAGGAATTATTAGTTTCAGACATTGAAGTCCAAGTTTTTTTTAGTCAAGTCAAAGTTTTATTTTTGTTTTTATTTGTGTCATGTCTCAATGTTTTCTTACCAGTTTTCAGGAGTATATACTTAACTGTGCCATATTTATGGGACATTTTGGAAAAAGCAAAAGGAGAGAGAAAAATTTTAAAAGAAGCAAAAATGGACGAAAATGCCCTTATTTATTTTTAGATTTCCTAAGGAATCCAATACATTTGCATGTCTTTGATTTGAAAGTTGAGTGGTTTTTTTGTCTTTTTTGAAAAAGCTTTGGCTTTTTCCAAAAGTGAAATTTTTTTTATGTCTAAAACCTAAAAAACCTCATATGGGGGGATGGTATTCATGTTGTCTGTAAAAATATTTAAAAAATATTTAAATAATGCTAATTAAATTCCATGTGTTAAGATTTGAATAACCTGTATTTTGGATTCAATATTCAAGGTGAAGACTTTTCTTTTTGATAAACTGTTTTTTTGTTTTTGTTTTGTTTTTTGTTTTGGTTAGTGGCAAAAGCACTACATCATCCATCCATTCAATTGACTGCGTCATACACCAGATATAATTTAAAAGCCCAGGATAATCCTACAACCAACTAACCAAACAACAAATCATTTATTTAGTTTTCAAAGTAATGACTTTTTTGGCTAACGTTTCTTAGGGGTGTTAATTATATCAATTATTTCGTCAAATTAAGGGTTATTTTCGTCATCTCAAGTTAGGATTTACTTTGACCCATCTTCACTATGGCTTTTGTCTCATAATTATCCCTTCAACTATTTCTGATAAAGTAGATCCCAACCCAGTGCTCATCCCAACCCAGTGATCGTACCTATTTCTGATAAACCAGATCCCAACCCAGTGCGTATGAACGTAAAGTTTTAAGGAAGCACACTATCCCGATCTCTTGGACCATATAAGTTTAAGAGATTGTGATTACACACCGTTGGATATTAATTCAATGATTCAAAAAAGTTTATTAAAAAGAGTGTAAGAGTGAGTGAACCGTTGAATGCACACTATCCCGATCTCTTGGACCATATAAGTTTAAGAGATTGTGATTACACACCGTTGGATATTAATTCAATGATTCAAAAAAGTTTATTAAAAAGAGTGTAAGATTGAGTGAACCGTTGAATTTACATTCAACGGTGAGTGACTATAAATCTTTTGAATCCTTGTAGTCTAAGAGTTCAGGACTGAGGAAGCACATTCACATTTGAGTTTTTGGAGATATCCAACCAAAGACCAAGTCCACACACAAAACAAGTCAGACGCCGACTTTAAAAAGTCTCCATGCTCAGTCACAGGCTCACTCACATCCTTTCACACCATTGCTAATTACGGTTTTGCCCCCACAATTTTCTCAATTAATTATGAATTTGTATTTTTACTTCGATCAAAATCAGTTTCAAATTTGAGTGGGTCAAGCCATGAATGCAATTTTCTACTTCTCACAAGTAAATTATGAAAGCACTTTTTGAAATTGCGGGCTTAAACCAATTTTCTTCCAACGCATGCACAAGTAAATTAAAATTTTATGTTTCTTAAATAATTAGAGATTTTTTATTGGTTTAAATAATATTTAGAAATTCTTTCACTATCAGCATTCATCATGGAACGTTGCACACCTTGACTACTTAATGGCTTTACAACTCTTTTTTGATACATGGGTTATGCGGCCAGTGGTGACTGGGACTGCTGATGGTGGCTATGATAGTGGTGGTGGCGGCGGCGGCTGCATGGGAGAAGATGACATAGAGGTTGTTGGGTTTTCAGATTTTTTATTTAAATTTTATTATTTTGTTATTTTATCTGTAAACCAAACTTAATAAATTTTTTATTAATTTTTTTTAACAGTAGTTTGATATAATGGACAATATTAACAGAAGGAATCAAACACAAAGGCTCAATTGGCCAAATTAAAAACACAGGAAAGTAACGGACTGTTAATATGATATTGATAGGGTCTTCGATACATTATCGACTTTGTCAATGCAACTTTAAAAAAATAAAAAAATAAAAAAAAACAAAGGATGAACGCCCTGCATAGAAAATTCTTGACGAGTCATATTCATTGGACAAATAGTATGTTATACCATAAAACCACCCCAAGTTTGTAGTAGACAGACATGTACCCTATCATGGTCCCTAAAAAGTCATTGTCGCAATAAATAATTGAGGGAAGACCAACTACCAATGGATCTATAGTTAGAACATGATTTTTAAAAAAATATATATAAGCGATACTTTGAATTAATCTAAACTATATGGAAGGAGATTCGAACTCGGATGTAGAGTGCGGAGTACATCCCCTCTAATCAACTTGGCTAAGAACATGACCATTTGAACTCAGACCTTTTAAATTTCGAGATTACTATTTGTTAATTACAAATCAACCGATGGTGACGTGAAGTATAAATAATGTGGCCAAGGTGGCTGCTTAATTACAAACATATCTTTAAATTTGTTTTGACAATATTGTTTATAAACTTATATTCGAAAATTGGAATTTTTAGGATTCAAGACACAATTAGTTTGGCTAAGTTTATATAAATTGTCTCGGTCAAACAATTTTATCTAGTTTACATGAAACATTTCCATGAGCTCCATCATCCGACTTGCCATGCCATCAAGGGCAGACTCCCATCAAGTTAATACTTTTTGTGGCCTTTGAATCTCAGCCAGAGACAGTCGTCTCATCTTTTTTCTGGATTCGTCTGCCCTTTTAGTGAGGGAACGTAGCTAACTAGGCTCATTTAATAAGTAAGCATGGCGTTTCTTGGTATATTGCCCTATATGCATTGATTTCTGTCACGAAAAAAATACTTGTGTACAGCTACTGCAACCTACTACATTTGGAGCAAAAGAAAAAAATGCATGAGTCGAGGAGGGTTCGACTAGGGTAAGTCAATGGTTCGATTAATAAGTAAGGGTTCGATTTTCCTCTCATATAGAAAAGAAAAAAAAAATCAATGCATATGTTGTCTTTTATATTGAGAATACTCAACTTAATTACCCCAAGCTATTATTTGGCCATCATTTTAGAAAAAAATTGTAGCCCCACCCTTGGCCGTAGACATCATAGGACCCTAGCTAGCTTCAAGTTGTTTTTTGTTTTGTCAGCCTTGGACTAGTTGGTATTTGGTTTTTCTCTTCTCCCTCTGTTTTGAGGTTTGGTAGGAGAATTAGCTCTCATGTGTGCCGTTAGGCAACTATTTGAGAAGAACACGATTATATCCATATCATATCGCATTGAAAAGGTATTGTTATTTAGATCTTATTTACTGAGTATATTGTTGATCACCTTTCTAATACATGCGAGTCCTATATATGTTGGTGAAATCCATCTTTATTAGATGGTTAGTAATGCAATCGATAAATATGGTACAAATAAACATTATTGATATCGAAAATACATGAATGTATAAATTTCAACCAAGAAATGGGATCTACTAATAGATTCATGCACCATCATCCTGTGGGTGGGTGGGTTGCACAAAGTTGACGTGGTACCATCAACAATATTCCCCAAAAGTTGAAGAAAAATAAAGACAGAGATTTGATAAGTAAATGAAGACGCAATCCGTGTAGATTTATTGAAAAAAACTTCCCATTACATTTACTACAGATGACAGCACAAATCGTTATCTGCAACTGCAAATATCCAACTCGTCATTTACTATTTTTCATTCTCATAAACCCTCTGAAACAAATTTACTTTTCACCTTTATCCGTAGTAATTCTTTCCTATTGTTTTAACTTTCACCGCGTTGACGACGTGGGCACACAACATCTAGAATTTAACTTGTCGTGTGGAAAAAAATATATTATAGAATTAAATATTTTTCACTCAATAAAATTGGAAAAAATAATAATAAAATCCAAAATTTGTCTTGAAAGTGAATAATAAAAACACGATCTCCTCTCCCAACAAAAAACTGAGAAACGGGGGCCTTCCGCGCCAACTCTTCTCCCCGTAGGTCGTTCTCTCTTTTGTGTTTTTGGGTTTTCATTTTTTTTTCTTTTCTTTTTGTCAAAAGAAGTCTCTTTTGACCACCACCACCTTCCTCCCTCTATTTCTTCCCTTCTTCCTGCTATCTGCTCCAATCTTTCCTCTAATTTGTCTCCCCATTATCTCTATATCTATGTCTCCCTCTGATTCTTGCCATATAAGATTTGACTGCCATCGCCAATAATTGTTAAAATTCAATCTCCCAAATGGTTTTGGATCAAAACCTCTGAAAAGTGAAAACCCTCTTTGTTTCTCTTTGCCTTTGTTTTCTTCTTCTTCTTCTTCTTCTTCTGCTTATTTTATTGGGTAAATCATGGGTGGTTGCTTTTCTACCGTCAAGGTCAGTGGCTCAAATAGCAACAACACAACCGCGCCCACGGCCAATCACAACCAGAAACAGAGCACAGCATCGTCACAATCAACAACCACGCCGGTCAAGCAAGAACAGAGAATGACCAATAGACCCAATGAGATGCCCAAGAAGCAGCTTGCCAATAAACCAAAAGGCAAGCCCAACTCCAGGAGGCAGACCGGGGTCATACCGTGCGGGAAGCGCACCGATTTTGGGTACGATAAGAATTTCGATAAGCGATACACGATCGGGAAGTTGTTGGGTCATGGTCAATTTGGGTACACCTATGTTGCTACCGATAAGTCTAATGGGGATCGAGTTGCGGTTAAGAGAATTGATAAGAACAAGGTATTGTTGTCTCAATTTCTGAATTGGGTTTTGTGTGTTTTTAGATCAATTCGTTGAAAAGCTTCCGTTTTGTGATCTCATTTGGTTGTATGTGAATCTGGGCTCATTTGGTTTTAAGGTGGTGTTCAATTCTTAATGTGATACGGAAAGAGTTGTCGGTTGGGATTGGATTTATAATTGTATGATACGGTGTTGATGATTCTTGTTGCGGATTGGCATTTGTGGTTTTTTGTTCCAATAATTTTCTTGTTGATTCCCACTTTCCACTATTGGATTTCTACTTTTCCAAATTAGCCTCCATTTGCTTAAAGCAGTCTTGTGGGTCTTTTTGAGGAATGGAGAATTACGCTTCCCATTTTTGGGTTCAATTGAGGTTTCTGAAAATTGGTCATGTTGAGCACCTCGTGTGTAAATAGTAGCAGATAGCAGCTGACAATTACTCAAGTTTTTGTTTTATTGTACTCGTTTCATACCTACCTGCAAGTTTTTGAAATTTGTCATTCAGTTGGTTTGTTTTTTTCTCAGCCAGTTTCCTATCTGGTGAAACATGTAGTTCTATAATTACAAATACTGTGAATTACTTTTCAAGTGTTAATGTGTTCATTAGAAACATAAATCATTTTCCCTTTTCCTTTTTGGAAAATGTTCCATTAATTCGTGAATGATCTTTGGTTTGGCTGCAGATGATTCTACCCATCGCCGTTGAAGATGTTAAGCGAGAAGTAAAGATATTAAAGGAGCTTGCAGGCCACGAGAATGTTGTCCAGTTTTATAATGCCTTTGAAGATGATTCTTATGTGTTTATAGTTATGGAGTAAGTTTCATTGTCGAGCTCTGTTTTCAGAGTATTCCAATGTTCTTTTGTTTTAGTTCCTTACATGCTCCTTTTCGGCTTATTGATCTTCATGTTTTCTGAGATATTTTACTGTATAATTCAATGTAAGTGTTTGTTTCATCACCCCATTAATATCTTGCATATATTGTTTTCTATCTTCTTTCTTTTCAGGTTATGTGAAGGTGGCGAGTTGCTGGACCGGATTTTGGAGAAGTAAGATTCCTTGAGTCCTGGATAAATATTTATCTGTATTTCCGGTTGACCATGAAATTTTCTTTCTGTCATATCTGTTGTAACCTTGAAATTATATTCTTCTTCTTGGTTAATCAGGAAGGACAGCCGTTACACTGAAAAGGATGCAGCGGTAGTTGTAAGGCAGATGCTTAAGGTTGCAGCTGAGTGTCATTTACATGGTCTGGTGCACCGTGACATGAAACCTGAGGTATAAACAAGTTCATTAACATGAATTCATCCTTTGATATATGGAGTCATTTTTCTCTGATTGTTGTAACTTTCCATTTTTTCCTTGCTTGTAGAATTTTCTTTTCAAGTCAAAAGCCTTAGACTCTCCTTTGAAGGCCACAGATTTTGGTTTGTCAGACTATATAAAACCAGGTGAGCGTATTTTCAATCCAGGAAAGATTTTATCAAGAGATGTACAAGTTTCTGTGATTGAAGTTCTACATTTCAATTTTGCTTATCCAGTACTCGTGGCCGTGTTTCTGGCCATTTTTATTTGAAACCTATAAAGCTGTTTAAGCTTAAAAAATGCAGGCAAGAAGTTCCAAGATATTGTTGGCAGTGCTTATTATGTTGCTCCTGAAGTATTGAGACGGAAGTCTGGGCCTGAATCAGATGTTTGGAGTATTGGTGTGATTACCTACATTTTGCTTTGCGGGAGGCGCCCATTCTGGGATAAGACCGAAGATGGTATATTTAAGGAGGTGCAGTACATTCTTAATTTTGAATTCTGTTGGATTTTTTTTTTGGGGGGGTGGTTGGGGATGTTGGGTGGGGGAGGGGAAGTGATGCCGGTTTATTATTTGTTATGTCTCCCCTGGCCCCTCATTATCTGTTCACCTCTCTGTTATTGTAGGTCTTAAGGAACAAGCCTGATTTTCGCCGCAAACCATGGCCAACCATAAGTTCCAGTGCTAAAGATTTTGTTAAGAAGATACTGGTAAAGGATCCTCGAGCAAGGCTAACTGCTGCTCAGGCTCTATGTATGCCCCTAGCTCTTATCTTGATAGAAATAATGCTGATTTCTATGGTACTGGAAAGGCTAACATATTTGTAAAGATTTTGAATTAGCTGCTTTATAAATGATTTTCCAATGATTTGCTTTTTCTTTTTTACAATTGAGTTATTGGTGTCATACCCAAGGAACGTTTATTATTATTTTTCATCTCGAGACAATTCTTTGAAGTGTTAATATATATATATATATATATAATTTATTTCCAGAGGGATTAACTGTTATTTCTTTTTTCCAGCACACCCATGGGTTAGAGAAGGAGGCAATGCATCGGAGATTCCTATCGATATATCTGTTCTAAATAACATGCGCCAGTTCGTGAGGTACAGTCGTTTGAAACAGTTTGCTCTAAGGGTAAGAAAAATTTCCTTCTCTTGGAGTTTCCAGTACAAAAAAGAAAAAGTCTTTTGTATTTTAATTTAATTATTCAAAATTGATGGCATTATAGGCATTAGCTAGCACACTTAATGCCGAGGAGCTGTCTGATCTTAAGGATCAATTTGATGCAATTGATGTGGATAAGAATGGTTCCATTAGTCTTGAAGAAATGAGACAGGTATTCCTTTTTCACATTTAAATTTGAACTCTAGAATATGATATTCCCCTTTCTTCGTGAGTGTATGTTCTAACATATGTGGTTTCTTTAGTTCTGAACTTCTAAGATTGATGTCTTTCTTGCAGGCACTTGCTAAAGATGTCCCTTGGAAATTGAAAGATTCACGGGTCCTTGAGATACTGGAAGCGGTACGCCACCCCCACCACCCTTTCCCTTTTTCTTTTTCCCTCCTCTTAATGAAGGGAAAAAAACCACCTATTTTTTGTTTTCTTTATGCCAGTCTCGTAGGGTGTTCAGGTTCTTTCCCTTATCATTCTTTTTCTTTGCGAGCCCTCTTACCCTTACTCCACCCAAGGCGATGTGAATCTCACATCAATCTTATATTCGTGTTTTGGATGTACGGTTTGGAATGTGGTTGTTGATTTGCTTGATGCAGATTGACAGCAACACAGATGGGCTTGTGGATTTCACCGAGTTTGTGGCAGCCACTCTGCATGTGCATCAATTGGAGGAACATGACTCTGAGAAGTGGCAGCAGCGCTCACGGGCAGCCTTTGAGAAATTCGACATAGATAAAGATGGGTTTATAACTCCAGAGGAACTTAAAATGGTTAGTGTTAATTTGTTTTGTTGGCTATACCTTTCCTCTCCCAGAAGACACAATCACATGGAACACAAACTTGGATTTACCAGTGTTGTTAATTTTCCTGATACACTATGTTGTTGCCTCTCTTTTGTAGCACACGGGATTAAGAGGTTCTATTGATCCACTTCTCGAAGAGGCCGATATTGACAAAGATGGGAAGATCAGCCTATCAGAATTCCGTAGACTTCTAAGAACTGCGAGCATTAGTTCGAAAACCGTGACTAGCCCGCCTGGTCAACGGAATGCTAGGAAGGTGTAGATTGGAATTAATGTTTTGAAGATTGGAAGTAAAAAGTGTAAGAAAGATATTCCGGTTTTCTAGTTATAACTTATAACCATACCGGACCACTTTTGAACTCAAGTATTCAGCAATTGTATTCTGCATAGGATTGGATAAAACATTTCACTGAGACATGTGATGTTAGAGTTGGTGTGAATCTGAAAAGAAGGCGGCTCCGGTTACTGTGGTTGTTAAAAGTGTACATCCTTTTGCAGGTGTTGGGGATTTCTTGGTTGTGCCGTACAAAATTATTATGTGACATAAATAAATTTTAATGAAAATGTGGCAGATTAGAACCATCCTCTGTGTGTGTGTTTTTTTATTTTTATTTTATATTTTTTATTAGAATAATACTAGTCTTACCACATTTTTTATACCACAATTTTATACCACATGATGTGGCAGCTGATGTGTATATACCACATCATGTAAAATACTAGTTTTTGTTTTCCTAATTTTATTTATTAAAATACACTTCATTCATTTAATTGATGTGGCATATGCCACATCATGTGGTATAGAAATGTGGGATAATAATGTGGTAAGTGTAGCATTACTCTTTTTATTATGCGGTATCTTGTATTATTATATACCAATAACTACAACCAAAAGTAGAAAACATTTGAGCAACCGTAATTGACGAATACGAACTTATTGATTGTAATTTTGCTCAGTTGGATTTGGATTGACCAAAAAATAGAAAAACGCGTGCTCAAATTATTGAAATAAGCTCTTAGCCAAATGGTTGCATGGTGACGCAAAATAAGAAAACACAGTAACATATCAAAATAAATAACAAAATTGCTAGACTGAATGTGCAATTACAATTACACCACTTTAACATATCTAATCTAAGGGGTTAGGCAGATCTTAAAGACAATTTACAAATATATAAACCTCTCTATTGCCTTCCGGGTGCTGAGGAAATTTGTTACTAGAAAACAGAAAACCTTTGCTTTCTTGCTTGGATACTGGATTCCGCAACTTCGAACTCGATTGGAAACTTGTGTGTTCAAAATAAACCGGAAGGTGTTCAGACCCACGGCTTATGATCAGGGTGTCATAGAAAACACAAGCTCTTGTGATGTTAGCAGTTCGATGAAGTCAAAGTACAGGCAACCTATGTTTCATTTGTTAGACTTGGGGACGTCACCTACGCTGTTGGAGGAGTTATCCTGAAGACCTTGAGATGAAGAATACCTACTTGATGAGCTTCCATCTGTAACAACCCTATCCTTCCTCTGTGATTGCTTGGCCTTCCTACCTCCAGAAGATGAATCCTGTAAAACCCCATTCATTCAATCTTCCATTTCTAATGTACAAAATAGATTCATGTGTAACATATAGGTACCGTACATATATAAAAGTATTTCTGAAAAGTGTAGCTTCTATAAGTTTAAACGTTAAAACTATAACCTGTTGTGTCGAAGATCCTGGCATCTTAAGTTCAAGGTCGGTTGCCACATCATTGGAGTCATCACATCTTTCAGCATTGCTCCCCCTTTGCATATCTGATGACTTGCTTCTGGAATCTTGTTTGCTTGAAAGGTGGGAAACAGATGCATACTGGGGTGCCGGCTGTTCTACATGAGGATTGGCAGGAGCTTGATATGGGGCAAAAGTTGAACAGGGATTGGGAATAGCAGCAGGAGTTTGAGTTTGAAAGTAAGGAAATGGCTGAAGTGACGGGTGCATGGGAATTGAGCAGGGAGGAACAGCTACAGGCATTGGATATGAGTATTGTGGAGCCATAACAACAGAAGGATCCATGGCAGCCCATGGAAACATAACTCTCAGTCTTTGCTGATACTGAACATTTAGATTCTCAATATCGGATTTCAAAGATGCCTTCTCTTCTCTTAGCTCATTCTTCTCCTGTGTTAGCTGCTTGCAATAAACAAGAATTCCGATGACATTAGCATATGATCGGCCTTACAAGTTACAACCACAAGGATAATACACATTACATATTAAAACGAACATCACCTCACCTCACGGGATTCATCAGTAAGCGCGGCACACTCGGCCTTTAGTTTGCCGACATCAGCAGTTAAATCCTTCAACATTTGAATTGTGTCTGTAAGGATTGTTGCCTTATCGTTCTTGGGCCTATCTGGATCTACATTTCCAACATAACAATAAGGCATGCATGTTTCTTGAGAACTAAGGCACGCGTTTGGTAAACTACTTTTCACTTGTGAGGCACACAATCTGCCATTCACATGCTATATTGCTGATACCGTTAATCAAATTATGTAGCCTTCATTCATGTCAAGCTATTGTTGTGATGGTGAAACATGTTGTGCCAAAAGAGTAGTAGAATATTGACTAAGCTTTACCTAGTGTGTTGCCCAACTCATGAAAGTGCTCATTGAGTCGATCCCTCCTCAACTTTTCACGGTCTGCTTTCTGAACTTTTCTTGCAGCAATTGGGTCCTTCGTCTCCACATCAGGCCTTTGTCTGCCACAAAATCAAACTATAAAAATCCAAACTTTCTCAACCCATCTGCTTCAAAACAGTCAGGAAATTTTTTTCTCGATATTATTTAATGAAAGAGACATTTAATTGCTGAATTCAAGCTAACCCAATAAAAGAAAACAGAAAATGTGTAAGGAAAGAAATGGGAAATATAAAAACCTGGACTCAGAGTTGGAGTTGTGGGAGCGATTGGAGGAGGGCAAAAGAAGAGGCTGAGCAGAAGAAGGTGCTGAAGCAGCTGAGAAATCGTCACCGTTCCATTGATCCATGCTCGCAAGCTCAGGCACATCAATCAAACCCAGGCCTTTGGCTTCAAATTTTCAGTCTAGGGTTT